ATTATGAGTTGGAAGGGACCTTGTAGGTCATCTAGTCCAACCCCCACTCTCAAATATTGGAAGGCGGCTCTCCTGTCTCCCCTAATCCTTTTGTTCCTTAAAATCAGATTTTGAGTTGTAAGGGACCTTGTAGGTCATCTAGTCCAACCCCCACTCTCAAATATTGTAAGGGTCCTGTCCTGTCTCGCCTGGTCCTTTTGTTCCTTAAAATCAGATGAAAGTCAGATGAACAGAGTTGGAAGGGACCTTGTAGGTCATCTAGACCAACCCCCCGCCCTCAAGTATTGGAAGGCTGCTCTCCTGTCTCCCCTGGTCCTTTTGTTCCTTAAAATCGGATTATGAGTTGGAAGGGACCTTGTAGGTCATCTAGTCCAACCCCCACTCTCAAATATTGGAAGGGTCCTGTCCTGTCTTGCCTGGTTCTTTTGTTCCTTAAAATCAGCTTATGTGTTGGAAGGGACCTTGTAGGTCATCTAGACCAACCCCCACCCTCTAATATTGGAAGGCTGCTCTCCTGTCTCCCCTGGTCCTTTTGTTCCTTAAAGTCAGATTATGAGTTGGAAGGGACCTTGTAGGTCATCTAGTCCAACCCCCTTCGGCCCTCAAATATTGGAAGGCGGCTCTCCTGTTTCCCCTGGTCCTTTTGTTCCTTAAAATCAGATTATGAGTTGGAAGGGACCTTGTAGGTCATCTAGTCCAACCCCACCACCCTCAAATATTGGAAGTCGGCTCTCCTGTCTCCCCTGGTCCTTTTGTTCCTTAAAATCGGATTTTGAGTTGTAAGGGACCTTGTAGGTCATCTAGTCCAACCCCCACTCTCAAATATTGGAAGGCGGCTCTCCTGTCTCCCCTAATCCTTTTGTTCCTTAAAATCAGATTTTGAGTTGTAAGGGACCTTGTAGGTCATCTAGTCCAACCCCCACTCTCAAATATTGTAAGGGTCCTGTCCTGTCTCGCCTGGTCCTTTTGTTCCTTAAAATCGGATTATGAGTTGGAAGGTACCTTGTAGGTCATCTAGTCCAACCCCCACTCTCAAATATTGGAAGGCAGCTCTCCTGTCTGCCCTGGTCCTTTTGTTCCTTAAAATCAGATTATGAGTTGGAAGGGACCTTGTAGGTCATCTAGACCAACCCCCACCCTCTAATATTGGAAGGCTGCTCTCCTGTCTCCCCTGGTCCTTTTGTTCCTTAAAATCGGATTATGAGTTGGAAGGGACCTTGTAGGTCATCTAGTCTGACCCCCAGCCCTCAAATATTGGAAGGCTGCTCTCCTGTCTCCCCTGGTCCTTTTGTTCCTTAAAATCGGATTATGAGTTGGAAGGGACCTTGTAGGTCATCTAGACCAACCCCCACCCTCTAATATTGGAAGGCTGCTCTCCTGTCTCCCCTGGTCCTTTTGTTCCTTAAAATCAGATTATGAGTTGGAAGGGACCTTGTAGGTCATCTAGTCCAACCCCCGCTCTCAAATATTGGAAGGCGGCTCTCCTGCCTCCCCTCGTCCTTTTTTTCCTTAAAATCAGATGGTGAGTTGGAAGGGACCTTGTAGGTCATCTAGTCCAACCCCCTTCGGCCCTCAAATATTGGAAGGCGGCTCTCCTGTCTCCCCTGGTCCTTTTGTTCCTTCAAATCAGATTATGAGTTGGAAGGGACCCTGTAGGTCATCTAGACCAACCCCCGCCCTCAAATATTGGAAGGCGGCTCTCCTGTCTCCCCTGGACCTTTTGTTCCTTAAAATCAGATTGTGAGTTGGAAGGGACCTTGTAGGTCATCTAGTCCGACCCCCGCTCTCAAAAATTGGAAGGCGGCTCTCCTGCCTCCCCTGGTCCTTTTGTTCCTTAAAATCAGATGAAAGTCAGATGAACAGAGTTGGAAGGGACCTTGTAGGTCATCTAGTCCAACCCCCCGCCCTCAAGTATTGGAAGGCTCCTGTCCTGTCTGCCCTGGTCGTTTTGTTCCTTAAAATCAGATTATGAGTTGGAAGGGACCTTGTAGGTCATCTAGACCAACCCCCACCCTCTAATATTGGAAGGCTGCTCTGCTGTCTCCCCTGATCCTTTTGTTCCTTAAAGTCAGATTATGAGTTGGAAGGGACCTTGTAGGTGATCTAGTCTGACCCCCTGCCCGCAAATATTGGAAGGTGTCTCTCCTGTCTCCCCTGGTCCTTTTGTTCCTTAAAATCAGATGAAAGTCAGATGAACAGAGTTGGAAGGGACCTTGTAGGTCATCTAGTCCAACCCCCCGCCCTCAAATATTGGAAGGCTCCTGTCCTGTCTCCCCTGGTCGTTTTGTTCCTTAAAATCAGATTATGAGTTGGAAGGGACCTTGTAGGTCATCTAGACCAACCCCCCGCCCTCAAGTATTGGAAGGCTGCTCTCCTGTCTCCCCTGGTCCTTTTGTTCCTTAAAATCAAATTATGAGTTGGAAGGGACCTTGTAGGTCATCTAGTCTGACCCCCTGCCCTCAAATATTGGAAGGCCGCTCTCCTGTCTCTCCTGGTCCTTTTGTTCCTTAAAATCATATTATGAGTTGGAAAGGACCTTGTAGGTCATCTAGACCAACCACCACTCTCAAATATTGGAGGGCTGCTGTCCTCTCTCCCCTCGTCCTTTTGTTCCTTAAAGTCAGATTATGAGTTGGAAGGAACCTTGTAGGTCATCTAGTCCAACCCCCGCCCTCAAATATTGGAAGGCTCCTCTCCTGTCTCCCCTGGTCCTTTTGTTCCTTAAAACCAGATGAAAGTCAGATTAACATAGTTGGAAGTGACCTTGTAGGTCATCTAGTCCAACCCCCCGCCCTCAAGTATTGGAAGGCTCCTCTCCTGTCTCCCCTGGTCCTTCTTCTCCTCCCTAGACCAGCCAGGCCTAGTTCCTGCAACCGTCCATCGTGTGTTTGAGCCTCCAGTCCCCTAAAATCATCTCCGTTGCTCTTCTCTGCACCTTTCTTCCAGAGTCTCAACATCCTTTTTTTTAATCATGTGGTGACCAAAATTGGACGCCTTGGTCTTGCTATGCCTTTCCAGATTGGGATGAATCCCCTCCCTTGATCTCAAGTTGGATCCCTCTGCCTGTCGATGCAACCTAGGATTTTGCGCTGGCTTTTGGGGTGGTGCCGCCGCAGGGCAGGGGTTGGGCGGTGGGTTTGCACCAATACTTGGTGCAAAGCAACCCGACGTGGGTTTTCTGGCGCTTCCTTTGGCCTTCTTGGAGTTGCCCTAGCCTGCCTTCCTTCCAGGGGGAATAGGGGTGGGTGGCTGGGTGGTTGAAGCCTTGACCTTCCCTTCCGGTCCCCGTCCCTGTCAGCCGCTCTCCTTGGAAAAGGCTTCTGGGAATATCATGGCTTCTCTTCCCGCCCAGATCTCTCCCGGAACCGCTTTGCCGAAGTACCCGAGGACGCTTGCCACTTGATGTCCCTGGAAGGGCTCAGCCTCTACCACAACTGCCTGCGAAGCCTCCCTCCGGCCATCGCCAACCTCCAGGCCCTCACCCACCTGAATGTCAGGTATTGGGGGCGGGGACAGAGGGGAGGGAGGAATGGGGGGGTTTGCAGGGGAGGTGGAGCGTCTCTCGGGCTCTCAGCCCAACCTGCCTTTCCAACCCCATTCAGCCGCAACCAGATCTCCGCCCTGCCCGCCTGCCTCTGCCGCCTGCCCCTCAAAGTCCTCATCGCCAGCAACAACAGGTTGGCTTCCCTGCCGGAGGACATCGGCTCCCTGGGCAGCCTTCGCCAGCTGGTGAGTCGGCCGGAGAGCGGGGTGGGTGGGAAGGGAGGCTGACGCCAGGCTTTGGTGGGGGGGGGTCGTCCAGGCTCCAAGCTGGAAGCCAGAAAGAGAGGGAAGCTGCCCCAAGCGCCCCCCCAACCCCCGGTAGCTGGACGGAAGGGTGCTGGTAGGCGAGGGCTGGAGGGGAGGGGCTTTGGAACGGCTCTTCGGAGGGGCTGAGGCTGGGGGGTTGGACTAGATGACCTA